TCGTCACTCGTCACAATATCATCTAAGTAAAACTTTTTCGCTGGATAAAAGCCAACAAGCTATGCAATGCGAATAACTACCCAGAATCAACCAGGTCGCGCAGAAACTTCGAAGAGAGAATATTCGTTTTCAAACTCCGCTCTCCCCCGCAAAATCCGCATTCAGAAATCTCACAAACGCATCACCCACCTGGTCAGGCGCCAGCCCGCCCTTGACAGCCGACGCATGGCTCCCCCCAATATACGCCCGATTCAGTCCGATCCACTGCCTCCGCAGACGCTGCAGACGCGGTAAAGAGAGGATACCGCCCGCACCGGCAAGCTCGTCAGTCGTGCCTGACGTGGCCACATGCGCCGGGATGAAGATGGGCGCCGACGCCTCGGGGACGGGGATTGCGATGCCGCGGGCGTCAGGGCTCTGGGCTAGTGCTGCCTCGGCTGAGGGGTTGGCGAGTGTGTAGGAGCGGATTGCGGCGACGATGGCGGAGGTGCATTTCTCCATGGCGTAGAGGGCGGAGGAGTCCGTTGCAGTGGGTTGGACGGTTGCCTGGTGGGGTTTTATCTTTGGGCGTTGGAGCGCGGCGGAGCGTGGGGTGCGTGCTGTGGCGGAGGTGTTGATGCTGGCTGTGTCGGAGAGGAGGGCGCTGGATGCGAGGGCATTTGTGAGCGTTGTGACGGGGGTTTCGGGGTCGGTGGAGGTGGATGGGTGCGGGATGCCGGTTAGGGCGGTCCAGATCTCGGCGATGGGGGGTTCGGGGTCGCTCCAGGGGACGGTGAAGAGGGGTTTGTCCCAGCGGCTGTGGGTGCTGGGTTCTTCGTAGCGGAAGATGAGGTTCTTGAGGAGGTCGGGGGGGTATGGTTCTTCGGTGTCATCGACGGCGGGAGAGGGGCCGTTGGTTTGCGTGGTGCGTTGCGCTTCGACCTGTGGTTCTGCTTCTGCTGTCGATGCTTCCTTTGGTTCGCTATCTTGCGATTCAGACTTCTCCTGTTGCGCGTCCCGACGACGTATCCTGGCTTCATTGTTCGCGATGCATTGATCGACAGGGGTCCCGACGTGCACCTTCAACATTCCACATCAGCTTCCGCCGGAACATCTGAGCCAGATATAAACTTACGACACATGAGGTCGTCCCCAACGCCTTCGCCTCACACCAAAGCTGATACCTATAGCCCTTGATGTAATTCATCCCATCGAGGATCACGAAACTGTCTCGGCCCAAGGCGCGCTTTGCCCGCGCATATGCCACCCCGCGCGCCTCCTTTTCAGTCCTTGCATGGTCGTATACGGTCCTCGGATGCGAGGGATCATGCGTCGGGACGATGTGTATCTTGTAGCGAGGTCTCGAGGCGGGGATAGCGCCGGATTTGAAGAGTTCGTCTTGTGTCGCCTCGAGGAGCGAGGCGAGCTGTTGGGCGCGGTACGAGAGACCGGAGCAGGGATAGCCTGAGAGGACGATAAGCTGGTCATTCCATTAGTATTAGCTTCAATCAACAGGGATATTGAAATGCTAGAGTAATAGGACTTACCGGCATTGTAACAACGGTGGTTGAGGGATGTGAGCGCTGTGCTTGGCGGAGACTTTTTCTTTGCGGGGCTGGCGGGCGGCATGTGACTTGGGAATCTGATGACAGGATTGATATTTGGAGATGTTACAGAGTAGACCTGAAAGATTTTTACTGAAGAAAAGGTATACGGTTACTTGAGAGCACACGAGCATTCTGGACTCTATTGATATTAATTTAAGTGCAGATAATATTGCTTGCATGTCACCAGGCCAATCATTCTACGGGTATGGGTTCGTCAAGGTCATTAATCGCCGAGGTATATACTACGTAGTCTTCACAACCATTGTCAATTCAATTGATCCGGAGCCCATCGAATCTCGTACCCAAACACCGTCCTCCGAAGTAATTCGTCCTGCAGCCTTGTCAGCAAATACATTATAAGAGAGAAAGTCAAAACCTACACCAGGGTCGTTCACAAACAAGACCTTATCCATGACCTTTTCAAAAATCTTGGTGACCTGAAACCCGCTCTGCTCTGCCAGTGGAAAGAAAGTCTGGGTCCTGGAAAGGAGCCAGGGCTGGTAAGGTGTAAAGACCACCAGCGCGACGGAGTCGCTGGATTTCTTCAGGGTCTGCTGCATGACCTTGATCAGATTGGGATGCTCGCGATAACTGTACACCACGTCGGCCATGATCAGAAGGTCGAATCTATTCGAGCCCTCGGGGAGATACGCCATCAGCGGTTCGACCGGATCACCCCATTTGTATCCATCAACGTGAAGGGATGACGATCTCGGAATGATAGGCGCCGCCAGCGAGGCGTTGTATCGCATGTTCTCGACCAGGTCCGGGTCAGGGTAATCGGTCATGACGACGGTACGTGCTCCTTTGACTGCGCTGACGATGCTCGGGACACCTGCCGCAGCTCCAATCTCCAAGACATCTTTCCCATCGACCAGGGCGCTAGCTTTCTCTTCTATGTAAGCGGCGCTCGTCCGGCCGGCGTTCCACAGCAGATCTCCCTCCAAAGACGGTCAGTCGGCGAAAGCAGAGGGTTGAGGCATTGACAATTGCAAGGGAGAGTACTTGGGAGGTTCAGCGTGTTCGTACGTAGAGAGGATGACTGCCGACAAGGCGCACGCGCACCGTCTGGCCGTTGAGCATCTGGTGCTCTGCGAAGGTGGGCTCTTTCTCAGGAGGGTAGAACCCTTCGGGGTCCTTAAAGGTGTCCCCGAACCCGACAAAATCTTCTTCATTTGCCATTGTGTGGAATTGAAATTTCGACTAAACTGGAGAAACAAAGCAATTGCAAGAGAAACATCACATGGCGCAGTCCAATCGCAACAACTCTGCTATCAGTGATAAATTCTCTATCGGGGATGGTGGGGTATTTCCCCTAAATGGACTAGTGCAGGCCTGATTCTCGCTGTTATCACATGACATCACGTGAGTTGGTTGCACAAAGCTGCCGAGGCTTCACCTGCATACAATACCATACAGCAATTTCGCAGGGGTACCTGCATTCAACACGGGCACCCCGCATAAAGATACGTGGAGATACGTATCGGAGAGAAATCGGGTAATTCTCGGTTGTCTTTCCAAAGATTCTGGAAAGAAATCATCCTCTTCATTGATGCGGATGATCATTGAGTGGGTGATGATAGTCGCTGTCGATCCTGCGCATAGTTTAGTCCTTCTTGATCAAGCGTAGACTGCATCTACCAAGTCTGCGACTCTATTAGAGTTCATAAGAAGACGCACTCTCCTCGTCTGGGCTGGCATCTCTGGGCAACTTTCATACCAGCGTCATCACCGGTTCAAATACTTTTTCCCTCACTTCCCTATCGGACGTCATTCCGCGGTATTTCTGGGCAAAGCCCCCACGTGTATCGACATTGACCGGCCGATACCTTAGTTATCTTCTTTCCTCTGCCTTGCTTCCTCTTCTTTCACTTCCATCGTCACTTCCACCGTCACTCCACCATCACGCCATTTGTCAGTGCTTCTGCGACTTCAAACTGAGACACCATTGCTGCACTAGTCAGTCCACCGCAATCAGCCCATACCGTCTCAAGTCCAACGCTGCACCCCGCTCCTCCGGACCTTATCTCATCCTTCGCCAGCGATATCGACGATTCATCTCGAATAATCTTGAATTCACACCTTTTGAGGACCACCATCATGGACAACTCTGCCCGCACTCTGCACTCCATAACCCACACCAACACCCAAGGCTCCAACTACTCCATACCATCCTCGTCAGTCACACTAGGCTATACACCCTCAGCGATGACAGCCCAACCGCAGAACATTCTACTTCCAAGTACAAACCAGACGCAATTCCGAGCGAGCGAGCAACAACAACAACAGCAAAAACAGAACCAGACCACTTCTTCCACCGAGTCTGCGAACCCGGCGCCCCCGCCCCCAGCGGCAGAAATCTACCCCCACCAGATCACCGGCTCGGGGGGTCCGTTAGCGACGGCCCCTTTTCTACAAGACTTTAGTCTCGTCGCGGAAGCAGCCAAACGGGCGCAGATGTCTGTCGTGCTGCGGGATTTGGAGAGTGTTACTCTATAGAGGTGTCGGTGCGGTCATCACTGTCGCAGCTATGGGTGTGTTAGGCAGACGGTGGTCCAGGACATCGGGCGTGCAGGATAGGGATTTCCAAGTTTAGTCGGATCTTTTATTGGAGTTTACATCGAGGACGGCGGGCTGGGCTGGGTTGGCGTTAGACTTCACACAGATATACCATTCACTTTTGACACTACATGGATTTAGAAACTCGTTATCTTGGGCATACAAGGTCCTTCATCTCAACTTCTGGTTCGAACTAGCGACGGATCCTGTGGAGGATCAGCTGGAGTAACGCCTTCGGCTAAATCCACGGGCATTCAGCCAATGTAATCCGGCAGGCTATACTCCGTAGTGTACTTCAAACTCGAAATGATAACAGTTTCCAAGGCATAGATACTCCGTTATCACTAGGTACTCAATTCCACCAACGAAAAAGAAACCAAGACCACGTGGCTGACCAGTCTGCTACGGCGTACTCCGACAAGAGAAGAATCAACGAAGAGAATCGAAGCGATTGGTGAGCTTTCGCTCTCCAGCTTACTTTGAGGCTTGACTAGAGCAGCCGAGCAGCAGCGCTTATCCATATCGACTAATCACTAGTCACTAGGGTCAATCGAACCCTGCGTATCAATTGGTGATTGGTGCGGTTATCGAACTGGTTAAAAAATAATCACATGCTTTAATATACTATCTACGTAGTACCTAGGGACTAGGGAGAGACCAAGGTGATTAAACTCGAGGATATAGCTATACCCTTACCGCTAAGTTATGTACATATATTTGATTTTGATGACAGGAAGGAAAGAGAAAATGCAGCGCCAAAGACAGTCTATTATTGTTGGATCCAACACCAAACGCCCAGCTGATGCAAATAACGATGAATAAACGCGTCGATCGAAGGGACTTTTACCGAAAGGGTTAGATGTTGCGAGAAGAGAGGCTGAGAAGATCCATCGCGATGGAGGATACGGTCGCACCGGGCAGTATATGGATGAGACCGATGGGATATGGCTTGAAAGCCGAGTTGCTCAGATATCCGTCGACGACCCGATCAAGTTCGGCTGAGAGATGCTCGCGAGCTGCGCCGGCGAAGCCCTCTTCCTCCTCGACCCGAACCGGAAATTCGACAGTCTCCGACTCAGCCGGCTTGTGGGCGGGGTCCAGTGATCGAAGGAGAGGATGGAGAGGGGTCTCGAGCGCGGCGGGCCGGACGCCGTGATGGGACGCTGATCTTGATGGAGTGCTGCGTCTGCGTCTGCGCCCGACGGACCGGCGGCAGCGTCAAACATCAGCATCGACTGGCGTCTGCTCCGGATTTTACTGGCCACGTTGTTTGGGTCTAGCTGCAGGGAGACGTCCTCCTTGATGTCGTCGAGGGCGTGCGAGAAGCGGCGGAGGAGGCGCGGTTTCTCGTAGATGGAGGGCTCGCGCTGCTCGAGGCCGTACATCTGCAGCGGGGTGGAGTCGGGCGAGTCCGCTCTCAAGGGGGTGGAATAGTAGCGGTGGATTTTGGGGATGTCTCTTCGAGTTCGGCGACATTGGGGGACGGGGAATGAGAAGACGGGGTTGTTGATGGTGAGGTTGTGGCCGGAGAGTGAGACGGGGCTGTCGGGATACGAGTCCCGGGAAGAATCTGTTACGGAGGATGTTGACATTTTGCCTTTGCTGGATGCCGCTGGAAGTAGATACAGGCGGTGATGATGATGCTTATTATCGATGGCCCTTGGGTGTAGGACCGAAGATTGTGGATGAAGAGACTGCTCAGGAGACACCAACAAGGCTTTCCTTGTCAGTTGTAGCTTTCACTTGTCCGTTGCCTGGGACGGACGGGGATGAACGAGCAGTAAATAACTGGCCATGGGTCTCAGAGAGAAGAGAAGCTAATTGGAAAGAGTGGAACTATGGATGGAGTCAGTCTCTACGGTCCGTCTATGTCCGATTTCATACTTGTTTTTGTTTTCACGAGTGCATACTCTCTTCAAGCAACATTGCCCGAGTTCGCACAGTGGTCGTACACGTAGTCCAGCCATTCCTTCCTGCCTCCAAGTCTTCTTTTCGATTCTTCTCCTCACAGCATACGTAGACTCAAAACAGCGTATGGACTACCAAACACTTCGCATGCTGGGTTTAAACACCTGAAACACCAACCGAGCCGTTTCCCGATGGGAACAGAGCCGATTGGAGTGGCTGGCTCCGACTACGTTCATGCACCAGATGACGCGGCGGTTGACGCTGACGCTGCCAGAAATATCTCGAGCAGCCATTGGACTTCATCCGCGAGCTGCTAGGTAGTTATATGCCTTATGTTCGATCTTCCATGTCTTTGGATCTTTTGATTCTCAACCCACGTCTTGTGCACATTTACGTATCTGCAATCCTGCATCCCTGGTCCATAGCCATGGCTACGGGCTGTTCCACCGGTACCTGCGGAGACTAAGGTATTTTGTCCACTCCATCGTCGAATCAAGGGATGGGATAATACCACGATGACAGTGCTGCTCCGCCACAATATCCGTGCCAAATAGGACAGGTATTACAGGTACATACGGAGTACTCGATATGGAGCAGGAGCACAGATCTGAAAACGAAAACTCAATGTTTGCAACTGCATATGAAGTCAATGCCAAGTCCAACCGTAAAAATAGAGCTCAGCCACCTTGCAGGTGAAACAAGGCGTTAGCCACTCCGCCTTCGCTGCCAGCCCACACCATCAGTTTCTACTTTCTGCTAAATGGCAGTCGATAGGATCTAATATTCAACCTGAAATAAATATCTCCGGGAGGTTGGCAGTGTGCAAATAATACCATGGCTGTGGTCGATTGTTTCATTCACACTGTCCAACGTCAATTCAGCATCACTGGCAAGCGACTCAGGAGCCAAATTCAACTCCTTGTTTTGGCTTCGTATAGCTGAGTCTCTGGCCGTCAATCAAATAGTTGTAGTCCTGGGCTATCTAGAGCTCAGCCTCGCCGTCAGCTTGGAGCATGGCGTGGAGTGCAGAACAGGGACGGCGGAGGCCTAAAAAGGTAGATGGAAAGAAAGAAAGCACAATAAGGGGCAAATCCCACATAGAGTACATGATAAACGATGGTGAAGTGTATGGCAGATAAAGCTTTGAAACAAGCCCGGATTGGCCTGTTTGATTGTCATGAGAGCCATGTATCACAATGGGTGACCACTGCTGCCTCGTATTGTTGATATAAAGACGCAGGCCTTTGTGACAGCATTGACTACTCATGTCCCTTCTCATAATCTTGCTCATTTCAGGACTTTGCTAGTGCTCAGAGCAAGCGACTCCAGTCTACGGCGACAGGGCTGTATATCTAACGAGTTTATGCTCCATATGTTGGGTATCTAAAGAAACTGTTGCCGGCCCTTCAAATGCACGCATGACCCCATGCACCTTGATGTAGATGGAGGCCCTAGTTGAGGTCCGACAGCCGGTCTTGAACGCTGGACGCATACAATGAAGTCGACGGAACCTGGTCTGCTATCAAAAGTCACAGTCATATCATGCATTAATCATAATTTCATATACGCCGAGTATCATTCACATCACAAAAAGCAGGTTCACATCTGTCACCATGTTAGCTCATGAAACCACGCTGTACAGGTTGACTCACCCAGTGGATGGCTACAACTCAGCTGCGGCTTCTGCGTGTATTTCCCCTCGAGCTCTGCTCGAATCGAGTTCAGTAGCTGCAGATAGCTCTGATTCGGACACTGTTTCAAGGACTTGATGAAGGCCCAGCTCAAGGCACCACGGGCTTCTCCGTCCTGGAATGTGTCCGCTCTAGAAAAAGACCGTCAGCTCGGCAAAGACACGAGGCCAGTAAATAAACGACATCAACAGCACTCACGATGTCTGTGTATCCTTGGAACCAGAGAACATGACCACATCTGCCGGAGACGTCTTGGTCATCACCGTCCGCTGACGTGCCGAGTCGCCTTTTGCGGCCTTTTTGAGGAACCCAATGGCCGTCATGGCGACTCCGCTCAGATCCCCTCTTCCATACGAGCTAATGGCGTTGAACAGGTCCTGTGCTGCTTCTTTGGCAAGGTTTGGTTCTTTCAAGATGCCCTGCAGGGGTCAGCATGGTGCTCGTTGAGCTTCCAGAGGGTCTAACCTGAGTTGAATAGACATACGGCAAATCCAGAGCCGTCCCCGAATGACAGGAGTCGAATATCGCCGTCAACCGAACGCCCGGACGCAACGGACGGACCCTACATCGGTAAGTATTGAGCTATAGACCAGAAGAAAGAAACTAACATTATGCTGTGCATGTCATCATCCACAATGTCGCCCGCAACCCGATAGTCGACGGGGTAGATGACGTCGTCATAACCTTGATTCTGTCAGCTTCTCCCCCAAACTTAAGCAGTATTCGACTCACCGTCCTCTTCGTCCCCATCAAGATCAGGAGTTCGCCCGCCATGGCCTGTGCCCTTCAGTTATTGCCTCACAGATGGCAAACACAGAGCCACCCACCTGAAAAATGAATGAAAAGCGAGTCGTTCGGCTGCGCATCTTTGACCAGCCACTGCATTGCACGCAGTATATTCGTCTTGGTAGGAATGCTCATGGGATTCTTCTGGTCATCAGTGAGAATAACCATGTCCTCACGCCGATACCCATATCGCTCATGGAGAAAAGTTGACATGTTAGTGACATCGTTGATGCATCCGCGAAGCTGATTCGGCTGTCCGATATAGTTGATTCCGATCAGTAGGGCCCTGCGTCGCCCTGTGCAAGCCGAGTACTGGAAGCGGTAATGTGAAGGTGCTCCATGACCGAATTGCTGCGCCTCGCGCGGCGGGCGTGGAGGGAGACTCGGCGAACTCCATGACTGAGAGTGTCCTGCATCGGGTCAGCTGTGTGCGTTCGTTCTGGTTTGACAGTCAGGGAAAATGAAAACTCACCATGCTGAGGATGCTGGTACGGGGATGGCGAGTGAGGAGGCGGCGTGGGGTAGGGCGATGGGTAACTGCGATGGACAGGAGGAGGAAATGTGTGCGCTGGAGGAGGGCCTTGAGGCGGGTACGGCGGGTACCTGAATACCGTCAATTATGAATGCATCGATACATATGGTGCCGCGAAAGGTAACCCTACTGGTAAGGCTGGGGAGGAGGCCACTGCTGCTGCGGAGGAGGGTAGCCACCAGACCAACCCGGGGGGGGAGGTGCCGAGTGACGGTGGTACATCAATTGATTAATCTACTGTTGAGAGAACTCGCTGAGTGCCGACCGCAACCGATGCAAACGAAATGGTTGAGGCTAGCAATCGACTGAATTGAGGACGATTGATTAGTGAACTAGAATAGTCTTAGTGGGTGAGCCGAGGAGCTGAATCAACACGCAAAACGCCGGAGTGCACCACAACCCAGATCCTGAAAACGGATTTTAAGAATAAGAGAAGTTGAAGTTTGGATAAGAATCAACAAGCAGCCTAGACAAATCATGATACTTAAACCTGTTCGATTGAACAAGGGCCCCAGGCACTAAGGCCGACAAGGCTGGCTGATGGATGCAGTGCCCGGCATTAGTGGAGAAGAGTGCGCACAGTCAATCTCTGCCATTTGCCCACGGAACTTGACGTAGCGGGTCATGACACGAGGCACTGCGCATAGGGTAGAGAAGCGGTATGCACTGTCTGCCGTTTTGATCCCTTGAAGAGATGAACTTCCAAAATACCGTCAGTTCCTCTTTCTCATACACCTGTATCTACGTGGGATGTTGCGAGCTTGTGTTGTCTTGAATGATCATGAACACCACTACACCACCCCTATCTACAAAGTTATACTCAAAACATCAGAGCCTGAGTGGACCACGAGGCCTAGGACACTTTCAACTCGGGCGTGACTTGCTCCACTCCGCCATTCTTGGTACCTTCCTGACCTGTAAAGATCGGTGGAGATCAATCATGGATTGAAGTCGTCAAGTGTCATCATCTAATATCTAGTCTGGTTCAATGCCACTCTGGAATCCTTTACTGCTGGCTCACATGTTTATATTTTCAACTTACTCATAGCTTATATTTGATCAGATTCATCCGCTCAGATTGAATGAACGCTCTCCTCGACTGCGAGAGACTGTCTGACCGGTACCATCCATTCCGGGCAATTTCCCGGAATACTCGGTTCATTTAGGCATCTACATTTCTCCAGCCTTGGCTTCTAGACGATACTAATAACAAGGACGATTACGACAGATGATGATCCGTTTCTTATACAGTGAATGCTGATTTGCTGGAATCTGACTCAGGCCTAAGAATGACTCTTGGTTCCCCGCAGAGAGGGCTGATTGACTCGTAGGGCTGAAAGAAAGTCGGCAGGAGATCGGGATATCGGATCTGCCCGTTGAAAATCTATGGGCGACGATAAAGGCTATTATCAATCTATCGTGTAAGCTCCATCTAGAGCTGGAGCATGCACCTGATACGAAAGAAACAATATACCAGCTTATAGAGGCTGTACCACCCTTTGGCGCTGTATCCAGTTCAGGGACCCAATGGTCCCTAGGGGGTATTTATGGACGGCGTCTGAATACTCCCTCGAACTTTGAGGATGAAAGTGATTTCCTCGATGCTGAGATGGAACCTGCCTGCGGATCCTTGTTTATGCCGTTGTGTAAGGTCATTGTTTGGCCAAGATTGAGT